TAGCGCTAGAACTAGTTCTAGAATTATGGAAAATATAACAATAGATTATTTATATATTCTAAACTTTGAGTCATAGGTCGTATCAAATACATACGGGGAATTAGCAGGTTTGGGAGTAGGAGCAGGAGCGGGTGGAGGGGGAGGGGATGCATTATTTTTAGCTGGAGAACTCACTTGAGCTGGGGCACTCGCTTGAGCCGGTTGACCGGCATTATAGACTTCGAAAGCTCCCGAGTACTTATCACCAGAACCATCGTTGAGAGCAAGGTAATAAAAGGCCGCGGGAACACTGACCGTCCATTGGTAAGCTTGAGCAGTGAGATTTACTGCACGGTCAATAACGGTTGTATTTTGAGTCGCGTTATTGACTACACTTAAAGTGCCTGGAAGCTGATTCGCTTGTGGGGTATACTGCCAAGTGATTGGAATGTTGGCACCCATCGCAACTCTACCACTAGGTGTGTTGATTTGTTGAACCTCTGGAAATATAAATACAATATTACACAATATTACACTTTAATACACTTAATTCATTTAATTCATTTAATTCAATTCATTTAATCATTTAATTAATTTATTTTAAATAGTATGCAACTTACGGGCTGAAGTAAACCCAATAAAAATTAAGAGTAGAAAAATAAATCGAGACATGATTATTTCTTTTCAGGTTGTTATTTTATCGTTATCGTTATTTTTTTTTTATTAATTATTCGGTACTGTGAAAAAGATTTTTTTTATTCTTTTTTATCCTAAGAAGTGGGTAAAGCGAGATATTTATATATAAAATGAAGAAAGAATTAACATAGCCGTAATTAGAGATTACACATGCGGCGACTTCGTTGCCCGGTTTCAAACTATAATTAGATTTTGAGTTGATTGCGATGTAGGAACAATATGAAATTGTAGTTATTAATAATTTTTTGCATGATTAGCATTAGGATTAAAATTTGATTATGATTATAAGTTTATGCTAAGTCTAGGCTAAGCTGCGTAATTATGACGAATTGCATACACACTCTGATATGTTAACGTTAATATATTTTTAAGTTTACTAATAATTATAAATTTTGCATACGAACACCATTGTTATTCTGCTAGAATGGAAGTTGATTGCAAAAGAAGCTTCACCACTTACCGTTAATTTAATAAATTTTATAATTAGGAATTGAATTTATTGATATGCAGTATATAATAAAAAAGTAAAAATTTAAATATAGATTTTAATTTGAGATGATGATAAAGATAAAATTGGCAAACGCAAAGTGCCGAGAAAAATTGGGAAATATATTATATAATAACAAATTAATCAAACAAATTTTGTTGCTAAAATAAAATTAGGGAGTAAGGCATAAAAGTGTTATATTAATAAAATCTTGCATACGTATCTGATATATTGTATATAGTAATGATATACTCTATACACTCTATACGTAGAATTTTTTTTCTACGTATCAAACAGTACGTTTTACACCTACGCACAAGATAATGATTTGACGCTAAATATATAGTATACATATGTCGTATGATTCGGAATTTTTAAGGTTTGGAATTTGGGGTTTGGATTTGTGACAATTTTATTATATTTGAGATTTATAGTTTGCCAATAAGTATTAATGTAAATTAAAAATTCTTGTATTGCTATTGAGAATATCGGTATACCGATACACTTGTATTATAATATATATATATATATAATATAATGATTAAAATTTAATTCAATTGATTAACAGAAATTGTTGTATACCTTTAGCGGTTTATCATTCGTATTGGTAATTACTGTATTTTCACATTCACACTCAAAGTCTTTTTCCAAATATATAAAAGAAAATATCTCAGAGTTTTTCCGTACTCATCTGATAATTAACCAAGTCCGTGAAACTGTCCAATATATATGCTCAAAGGCCATCTACGACACACTATAAGTATTGTGTAATTTATTCTCTTTTCGGTATACCAATAAACAGTCGATAAATAAATAAAATTGTGGAATTACCTTGTTTTCATTTGGCAATACTTAACTAAAATTATATCGTTACGTATTATATTAGCGTTACATTACTAGTCTACGAATCACACTAGGATTAGGAACTACGTACGTACGTACGTACATACGTATACAGTAGTATAACTATTACCGTAATGTGCCATATAAACGACCAGGGTCTGTTACATTCCACCAATTTTCAACCCTATATTTAGACCCGGGGGTCTTTTGTATGGGTGTGGGTATGATAATTGGGGTTTATTCTATTTCTTTATTTTTTTCTTAGTATTTTCCTATTTGTATACCCGGGTCTCTTACATTTTACCAAAATTTTATCCTATATTATAGACCCGGGTCTAATTCATAGGGGATCTGATATATAGGGGGATCTTTTATATGGCACATTACGGTACTCAAGTTGAGGAAGTAGCAGATATCACTTATAAAGTAATTTAATAGTACTGGATAGCACTATTACTCAAGATAAAACAGCAAAAGAAATAGCTAACCTAATAATTGCTAAAATTGAAGGTGAAGATGATTATTTGTAAAAGTAAGTATTAAAAATAAATTAAAATTAAAACTATTTCATTAAAAATATAATTTAATTATAATGATACTAACTGAATACTTATTATTGTAGCTTTTATCATGCAAACATGTTAAAAAAAATTAGAGATAATGTTGAATAGTTTTATTATTTTTGCTATCAGTCAAAAGAAGCACAAATCAAAAATTATAAATATTCTAATAGTAAATGGTGAATATATTATGATTGCAAAGAAAACATTATTATTTAAATAGATTTAGTTCTTAATATTGTAGAAATATATAGAGTGTCTAATTAAAAGGACTCATTTTTACAATTTTTCAAAAATTAAGTTTTTTGTTAGGTTCATATAAATTTTGATATAATTAACATTTTTTCAATTATAAATAAAAGTTGATTTTTTTAATAAAAAATAGTGATAATGTAAAAGAAAGATTACACAAAGCTGCCTAAGGCAAAGTATATCATATAATTACTTGATAGTCATCTGTTACTGTTATCTAATCAAAATTGTAAAATATGATTAATTCTGGATCAGTTGAAAATCAAAACAAATATTTAAACTCAATTATTTCAAAATAAGATAAATGTAAAAATAGGCCCTTTTAATTAAAAACACCCCATATATCTATTATGGTTTTCTTTATCAGTGTCCAAATCTTTGTGCTGAGATGCTCAATGAACTACAAGAAGAGATCAAAACATATTCATATTTTACTGCAACAAAATTAAAAAATCATCTGTAGTATCAAGGTTTTGATATCTTTAAGTATTCACCCAAGTGCATCTACTATTAGAAATCTATAGCAGGTCAAAAACTATTCTAATATTATGATAATCATATTAAATTGGTATATAAACTGCTAAGTGAATATGAAAGCTATAGCTTCTAATAGTATTTAAATATAAGAGATTCAGATACTACTGCTATTGGATTTATTATACCTTTGTTGGAAGCAATCAAAGATCATAATATTAGCATCAATGAAATCTATCTTAATGCAACTTACAAGACAACAACAGGGTGCTATGAGCTCTATAGTATTATAGCTGATGTAGAAGATATTGGTTTCCCAATAGTATATTTAATCCTTGACATAATAAAAGTAATGAATATGAGTACTTTTTTTTTTTTTTTTTTTTTTTTTTTTCCACTTAGGCTATCTTGCCTTTAGTTTCCTTTATTACTTTATGATTGTATGATATTACAAAAGGCTTTTGCATAATATTTAGAAGTGGTATCCTGCAGTTACTTTGAGAGTACTTACAAGTGATCGGCCACACTGAGCAGATACATTCCTATGAATATATCACGATAAGTTTCAAAATAGAAACACTATCTCTCTCAGATAAACACTATCAGACTACCACCCTACAATAGGATATCAGCAATCTGATGACATCTTCTCGTAGGGAAGTGAAAAGAAAAAATTTTTTACTAACACTAACAATAATACTAAAAAGGAGATACTAAAAAAAAGGAAACTAAAACTAAAAAAAAAACAAATACAAAGACGAAAAGGGGAAGAAAAAGAAAAGAGAATCTGATAGGTCACAATTATAGGCCTGTGTCGGGCCTTAAAAATTACATATTAATAGGTAAAGAAGCTCTGTATCTAACTCTATCCCAG